TCAAGATGCACCACCCTCTTGGGACCCAGAATTGACAAATTTTATTCGAAATATATTGGGAAAAATAAAGAACGTTACACGAAGTCAATCTCAGACTTAGTGTGCAGCTTGACAGTACGTAGGTCTACAGCTCTTCCTTGTGATTTTTGAGAAATGTTTTTGCAAAATTAATTTCGTTCTCCTACTGTACTCAGTAGTTACTGTATATATATTGTACGGCCTTTTATTTATTTATTATTATTTTTATTTTTTTATTAACTTAAGGCAAAGTTAGTTTTAATCTAAGATAACGCAGCTATGTCTTTTTTTTTCAGGCAACGATGAATTCGTAAAATTATTAAGTAATAAAAAAGAAGTGCTTAAGCGCTTCGTTTTCTGTCTTTTTCCTCCAACCTTCTTTTCTGCTCTTTAAGCTTCTTTCCCTTGTCTTTTGAATCTGAATTAGATTAGAATCTGAATTGAGCAAAATTCAAAAATTTTGAAAATTGTTGCACAACGAAATTGTCGAGACACGAGCATGCGTCGTGAACACGCCTTTCATACTCGCAGTCCCGTCGTGTTTTCGATTTTGTTCGTTATAGATGTGAGGGCGTGCGCCGCACTCAACACGCAAAGGGCTCTTTCTCCTTCATTTCTTGCGCCGTGCATCTTGGACCAGGCAAGTCTCACTTGCAAATCAATTGCAAACTCCTTAGAAAGGGAGCAAATTACGCTTGTGGCCTCGCTGTTCGCAGATTATTCGTGGAATCTATTGCAAATGTTCAATATCCTCCGTACGTGCTGTCATACGTGCGAACTCGAAATTTTGCATAAAGGACTTGTGTGGTACATGAGATTCTCCGCAAAATTTGGACTTAAACGGGTCGTAGATTTTGATCCACTTACCTAGACTGACCCTAACCTGTATAATTAAATGGAGGGTTGACTCTGTTACTCGATCCTCAGTTTCGTCAAAATTGCATAGAGGGAGTAATGATGGGGGGGAGTATCGGTGCGGGGGAGTAACGGTGCGGGGAAACAACAACGCGGGGGAGTATCGGTGTGGGGGAGTAACGGTGCGCGTATAACGGCAATTTTACAGGGGGTTTATCGATGCGGGGATCTATCGGTGTGGGGTCGTATCGATGTGCATAATGCAAAGATTTACTAAGGGGGAGTATTGGTGCGGGGGAGTATTGGTGCGGGGGAGTAACGGTGCAGGGGAGTATCGGTGCCGGGGAGTAACGGTGCGGGGGAGTATCGGCATGACCCCGAAGGTTCAATAGTCTGAAGGTTCATTGGTCCAAGTGTTCACTATAGAACCTTTGGACCAATGAACCCTAGATTAAAAAACTGATGAAAATGTTACCATTTTTCGGACCAATGAACCTACAGACTATCGAGACGCCCCTGTAAATTGTAAATCATCTTCAGTTTTTAATTATGTACTGTACGAGACATTCAGAATATATTACTGGCACAGGACTTCAGTTCCATGGTATTTCATAGTAGCAAACTGAAATGCCAATAAGACAAAAATGAAAATTTCAAATAAAACTGCAGAACTCCAAGAAAAATTATCCATTAAAGATGCGAATAAAATTTGACTATTAATTTAGTGCCATAAATCATAACAGTGAGTTTGAGGATAAAAAAAAGTCACACTGTTATCCATAAATTGCATAAATGATGTAAAGTGTATAGTGACGCCGACCCCACTGACAGCAACATTCATGATAATGTATGTACACACTATCTGTACATAAAAAACAGTATTTATTTTCCATAATATGTATTTTCTCTAAATATGAATGAATTTGTGTCAGGCATGCTATGTAATGAAGAAGTTGGTAAAATTTCAGGGAAAATTTGTTTCTTTGCTACATAAGTATCTAAATTTCAGGGAAAATTTGTTTCTTTGTAACATAAGTGTCTAAATTTCAGGGAAATTTTATTTCTTTGTTACATACGTGTCTAAGACCCCATTCCCATAGATTTTAGATCAATCTATCCCTGTGGGGAGTCTCACTAGATTACTGTCAGCTTAGCTGGCTTAAGCGTCTGTCCCGCCCACTAAAAGCTGTAAGGGGGTAATTAACTAAGGTGCGCGCTCGGCTGACTGCAATTTAGCGTGAACCCCCAGGGCGTTAGGTCGATCTAAATCTAAATCTCTGGATCGATCTAAATCTCTGGGAATGCACCCCAAGAGGACATTCAGAATAGAAAATCCAAGGACCCTATGGCGGACCCTACATGAAAGAAGAGCTGACTAATCTGCTGATGGTCTCCCCACCTCCACACACGCTGTCCATGCAGGGGTCTAGCTATTAAACCTTGGAGATGTGATTTAATCCATTTAATGGCATGTGTGGAGGCATGGAGACCATCAGCAGATTAGTTAGCTCATTTGACGGCAAAGCGGATAATACGCATGCGCAGAAAGCTCATTTTCCTGCAAATTCAATAACGACATTTGCGATAACTGACTTCGTTGGGTATGATTTTTTTTTGAAGAACCGACAAAAATTGAAAATCGCGCCCAGGATGTCATCCATAAAAAGAAAAAAAGTGTCGCCTAAGTGTCTATACTGCACCACAACATCAACCTCCTTCAGAGAGGGGAGCAATTTTAGTTCTCGGCATAGGTGTTACTAATATTTACCTTTGACACATCCTGTTCTTGTCACTAACCTGTTTTTCATATTCAGACCACTGTCCAAACTCATCCTTCCAATACCACAACCAACATGTGCTGAAGGCTCTAGAAGCTGGTGTCGCCACCTCTGAGGACAATGTGGACAGCCTACGGATCTCCAAAAGTTGGTGATCACCAGAGCTTCTGATTGTCATGGTCAAGAAGCTGACAGAGCACTGATGCCTATAACAGTATAACATAGACGATTATAAGTATGAATTTTAAAAATTAACATCAAAATTTAAAGTATCATAATGGCTAGAATTCAAAATATTGTATCCAACCTAATGGCTGATTTTGTGATATCATTTTATTGCCTTTCACTGCATGGTTATTTGCACTTGATATTACTATGCTATCTTAAACATGTTTCAATGTATTTGCTAGTAACAGAATATGATGTAACAAAAATCACTTAAACCACCCTATTAATATGAAGCCAAGTTTACATCTTTATGAAATATATAGTAAATTGATAATTATCTTGAAGAAAGAGGAAGACTACTGGGTACTGTGTATCCTGTATGACACTTGTATATGTCACTATATAATTACGTATCTGTGTTCATACCAGCCCATATGCACCATAGTCCTATTTTTCTCCTATTTTTTTCTTGCTAGCATCACGTTTGACTGAAGAATTAAAACTTAACTTACCCCTTAAGACCTATCATCACTTCAGTTTTCTGAGGATTGCAGAATTCTTTTTCCAGATGTTTTATTTGCTGTAGGTCTAGAAGATCTGCCCATTCACCACTCCCAGTTACATCCCTGCACTGCCAGTGATACGGCAACCTGTGAGGGTTGTGGAATTTTCTGAAAGAAGAAAAATGATAACTTCAGTAATTTATATCAAAGAAATCATGGTGGCAAGAAGTAGATAGACTAACTACAAGTATATACATGTATTGTTCAATAACATACATGTTCTTGTACTTGAATACAAAGTTCATTCCAACTGAAAGAAAAAACGTCATACCACGGGTATACAAGTGCCTCAGAGAAAAGGGTTAAAAATATGAGCATACAGTGGGACAATATTACAAAATTTATTGTCAACGGAAAATTTGATGTAGAAAAAGTAAGATTCGCATACTATGAGAAGAAAGATTTTTAGATATGCATCCTATCCCTTGATCCAACAGCATTTGGGTGTTTGACACTCTACATGCATATTAAGCACAATATCTGCTTTCATATCCCTCTGGACACCTGTGTGTGCTTGTTTGAAGATAAATCCATGTTTCTAAATGTCCCAAAATCATATTTCTCTGTTTACACAAAACTACTTTTCTTTCCCAATTCAGACCTTAAAATGATAAAACCCCTCAAATAAAAGTTGGCGAAGAGTACTTGATGTCAATATTTTTTTCTGAGAAGACATATTAGTACATGAACTTGGTGATGGTCTTAGTGATTGACCAGTCACTCAAAATAAACTGGCATAAAACATTGGGTCCAGTCATATCAAGCACAAAGTTGGGTTAACTGAGAGAAGGTGAGTGAGGTGAAAGGATCAAACTGGTAATTTTTTTTGGAAAAAAAATACAGTTTGGTGGGAAAGTTGCATTTAGGATTTATGTTTCTTCTCCTGATAATCAAATTTCTCCTCATACAATACAGGGGTTACTGTACCTGCATGACTGCCCATAGTTACACTTGCCACGAAGATGGAAAGTACATATTTCATCATCACCATAGATACTAGCACAAGTACTTCCCATGGCTGCTGGCAGGTGCTGGACACTGGCCTGGTGTCTGGGACTACCTGGACCAACTGCAGAGCCTTGGTCACTTTGCCTGGACCCTGTCACTTTTCCTGCATCCTTTCTCTGCTTGGGTGAAGAGGACAGAGGTGGCTGACTGGATGATGATGACGTCATGCTTCCAGAATCAGACGTCATATCCATGCCTTCAAGTGCATCGCGTATTTCTGCCAGAGTTTCTTTAGGACTCCTGTTCACATTGATTCCATTCTTTTCCAACACTGCCTTCGGTTGTGGATCACAGATGTTGTGCGATCGTTTACATTTTTTACCAAAGCGACAAGATCCCAGCAAGTAGTGTTTACACACATGCAGAAATGGGCAGGAAGATGCTGAAGACTCCGCACGACACCCTTTGGCAACATTGTAAAACTTGCAAGGTTTAGGCACTGTTCTCGCACTACTGTTCATCACAGTCTTCAGTGCTCTTTCATCCAGTCCACTCAGATGGTGTTCAAACAGTGCATGCTGATTGTGATCAGTGGTCAGGTCATGGCCAAAATGGCAGTTGGGAGTGAATTTACAAGTGCCATTCAAGTAATATTTACACAGATGTAAGTTGTCACAAAGTGAGTCTTGGCAAGTGGACTTTCTTGTGCAGTGTTCTGCGCAGTAATCAATGGTGGTTATCGCTTTTACAAAGTTCACTATGTTTCCTCCAAACCTTGTAGTTTCTGTTTTGAAATTATTTGGATACATTTGCAGAAAACCCCGATATTCCTCAACTGGTAATTTTCTCAATGCTTTTCGTCTTTTCATCTCATTCTCCAAGGCATCATATTCCATCTTTCCTCCATGTCTGCTCAATATTTTGTAAATGGCATTAATATACTCAGCTCGACCGCCGTATTGATGCGCCATTTCACTTTCTCTTTCGAGTTTGCCNTTTTAAGAGAAAATATCAAACCTACATTCCCTCCTTAAGCACAATATCTGCTTTCATATCCCTCTGGACACCTGTGTGTGCTTCTTTGAAGATAGATCCATGTTTCTTAATGTCCCAAAATCATATTTCTCTGTTTACACCAAACTACTTTTCTTTCCCAATTCAGACCTTAAAATTATAAAACCCCTCAAATAAAAGTTGGCGAAGAGTACTTGATGTCAATATTTTTTTCTGAGAAGACATATTAGTACATGAACTTGGTGATGGTCTTAGTGATTGACCAGTCACTCAAAATAAACTGGCATAAAACATTGGGTCCAGTCATATCAAGCACAAAGTTGGGTTAACTGAGAGAAGGTGAGTGAGGTGAAAGGATCAAACTGGTAATTTTTTTTGGAAAAAAAAATACAGTTTGGTGGGAAAGTTACATTTAGGATTTATGTTTCTTCTCCTGATAATCAAATTTCTCCTCATACAATACAGGGGTTACTGTACCTGCATGACTGCCCATAGTTACACTTGCCACGAAGATGGAAAGTACATATTTCATCATCACCGTAGATACTAGCACAAGTACTTCCCATGGCTGCTGGCAGGTGCTGGACACTGGCCTGGTGTCTGGGACTACCTGGACCAACTGCAGAGCCTTGGTCACTTTGCCTGGACCCTGTCACTTTTCCTGCATCCTTTCTCTGCTTGGGTGAAGAGGACAGAGGTGGCTGACTGGATGATGCTGACGTCATGCTTCCAGAATCAGACGTCATATCCATGCCTTCAACTGCATCGCGTATTTCTGCCAGAGTTTCTTTAGGACTCCTGTTCACATTGATTCCATTCTTTTCCAACACTGCCTTTGGTTGTGGATCATAGATGTTGTGCGATCGTTTACATTTTTTACCAAAGCGACAAGATCCGAGCAAGTAGTGTTTACACACATGCAGAAATGGGCAGGAAGATGCTGAAGACTCCGCACGACACCCTTTGGCAACATTGTACCACTTGCAAGGTTTAGGCACTGTTCTTGCACTACTGTTCATCACAGTCTTCAGTGCTCTTTCATCAAGTCCACTCAGATGGTGTTCAGACAGTGCATGCTGATTGTGATCAGTGGTCAGATCATGGCCAAAATGGCAGTTGGGGGTGAATTTACAAGTGCCATTCAAGTAATATTTACACAGATGTAAGTTGTCACAAAGTGAGTCTTGGCAAGTGGACTTTCTTGTGCAGTGTTCTGCGCAGTAATCAATGGTGGTTATCGCTTTTACAAAGTCCACTATGTTTCCTCCAAACCTTGTAGTTTCTGTTTTGAAATTATTTGGATACATTTGCAGAAAACCCCAATATTCCTCAACTGGTAAGTTTCTCAATGCTTTTCGTCTTTTCATCTCACTCTTCAAGGCACCATATTCCATCTTTCCTCCATGTCTGCTCAATATTTTGTAAATGGCATTAATATAATCAGCTCGATCGCCGTATTGATGCGCCATTTCACTTTCTCTTTCGAGTTTGTCTTCCTGGTAGCAGAGGGGAGTGATCAATATCAAGATAGGCTAAATACTTACTGCCTATGAACTTTACTTTTCACTCTATCTCATACCATCATTTAGAATAACGGTTTGACGCAAAATTTAATTAAAAAAATAAAAATTAAACCCGAAATAAAGCGACACATCAACCGCCACTCATCAATGAAGTGACTCCTGTCTTGTTTTTGAAAGCCTGTTTACATACGGGCACTTTCAAGTATGGCCGCTTCCTTGGAGAGCGAAATTTACAATGAAGTTCGTAAACTAAGAAAGAAGCTGCGTCAGATAGAAAATCTCCAGAGATTAGACAGAGAATTGACTGAAGAGGAAGAAGTTAAGGTTGGGAAGATATATAAATTACCTCAAACATTTGTCATTGTTAAGGGGCCTCCCTCTTTATAATTTCTTCAACGCAGTAACTCTGCATCTCTCCGTCCTCAAAGCCAAGTACCATCTGAAAGCACCTCAGTGTGCGAGATGACGGGAATGTCGCCTTTTTTATCAGAATGGTGCACGTAAATAGCTCGATTAAATTGTTCAAAAGAAACGCCGAAAATTCATGCGTGCTTGTAATTATGGTCTACATAAAATGCACAATACAGCGCAAAGCACTATAGAACGACGTCGGAGGGGTGCAGAAGTACGCAAAGACGTGCAAAGATGATCAAAGACGCGACAAGACAGGTTTATTGAATAAATAAACACCAACTTAGAGTCACATATGATTCTCTTGATACAAAAACTGTAAGAATTTGTCTTAGATAAAAATACACTAACTATGAAGTAGTGCTAGAAATTGTCTTAGATAAAAATAGAAGCATATGTAACTCTAAGTTGATGTTTATTTATTCAATTAACCTGTCTTGTTGCATCTTTGCGCGTCTTGTCACGTCTTTGCGTACTTAAGTATGACCGGTCACAAACTGACTTTCTATCTCAAGAAAAGTTTGATTCTTTTAATTTCGAAAACAATTGTTTTAAAGCTTATAATGATGAATTTCATCAGATGTTTTTACAATTAACTTACAGTAACAGCCTAGTGTATATTTGTCAGAGAATAATTTCATCAGCCGTGTTATACTAGTATATGTTGTAAGAATGAAGTAATTTTTCTTCAGTCAACAGCTAATATTGAAAAAGATGAGATCAATGGAATTTGGAGAGATTCTAAGAATGGTAATTGAAACCACCTACTTCAGATTCCAAAATAAAGTATATATGAACAGCCATGGGTTCACCTCTTTCCCCAATTTTATCCAACTTGTTCATGGAAGAATTTGAAAAGAAGGCACTAGCCACTGCAGTTCACCCTCCCAAATTCTAAAGATGATACATAGACAACACAGGAATGGTCATCCAAAGTCAACACCAAGAGGAGCTGTTTGCACACATCAGTGTCAAACAACATTCATACATCAAATTTACTGGGGAGAAAGAGGATTATAAACAGCTATCCCTACCCATGCTGTACCTAAAACTGACCAGTAAAGGAAATACAATCACAGCAGACATATATTGTAAACCCACCCACACAGACCAATATCATTGGGAGTCACACCATCCTGTATATGAAAAACTAGGGATTGTAAAGACACTCATGTATAGGGCTGAGACCTTGGTAAAGGACAGAGAGACACATTAAAAGAAGGGGACAGGCATTAAAAGAAGGGGAAAAGATGGGCAAGAAACAAAAACAAAGAAGTGCCTACACTACAGCTCATAACAGTGACAAAAAAGAGAAAAAACAAGTCACTGTATTACCCTACACCAGGGGGGTCTCGGAATGCCCACAACGGACATTTAACAAATACAACATCAACTTGTACAACAAAGCAGGGTTCACCATCCGGAATGCAGTAGTAATTCCTAAAGACCCATTAGACAACAATGAAAAGTGTGGAGGAGTATATGAAATGGAATGTGAGGGGTGTGGTGAGATATATAGAGGCAAAATGGGAAGATCAGTGGCAGAGAGAATAGCCGGACACCAAGATTCGGTCATAAATAGAGACAGCAAGTTGGCATTAAGCCAGCATGAGGAACAATCAGGACACAAAGTATCATGTGGTCCCATAATCAATAAAATCAAGGTGATTGACTGTGAACCAAGGGAAAATTATAGAAAAGTCCCAGAAGCCATCCACATCAAGAAGACAGGGGCCAGTCTCAACAGAAATGATGGTGCCATCCTTTCTGACCTCTACCTTCCTTTCCTAATACAATAGGGGTGTGTGTGTGTGTGTTGGGGGGGGGGGGGGGGGGGGGAAGTATTATGCCTCCTGAATAGAGGCTTTTCACCTGGATAGCCTCATTCCCTGATGAAGATGTTTGGCTAGACATCGAAATATTGGAGGTAAAAATTATCCCCTGAATGAATGGACTAAGAGTTTCATGGAAAACCATAAAAAGCATTAACTAAAATACCAACATTTTCATATGAAGTTAAAGTTAACACTGGAACTATTCTTTTTATCAAGGTTTCCAAGAAACTGCCCATAAGACTACAACTCCAAGATTTATTATCTCAAATCCCAGAAGAAGATATTCCACTTCACAGTAGAGCTGCCTCCAGTTCTGCTGTTAACAGTGCCACCTACAGTACAGCAGAGAGTAGTGTCAGTTGGAGCACTGCAGACAGCAGCACTATATCCAGCCCAGACACAGTGACTGCCATATCACCTGCTAGTGCCAGGACTGACACAGAGAGTGGGAAGGGGGTGGGTGGAGGGGCTGAAGTGAAGGAGGACGAGGAAAGAGAGAATGAGAAAGTAACCACAGACATGAAACCTAGTGAAATCAATGATAGAGACAACATGAAAAGAAAAAGTGACAGGTACATGCAATGATATGTGTACACATTATTAATTACCAGGACATTAAAAATTATAACTCTGAATCTTACTTTTCTATATTTCAATTTATTATATTTAGAAAGTATTTTATTTGAATTTATAATGATTTATGTCCACATAATTTTTTTAATTAAAAATAAGTTGTGTGTAGTAAACAACAATACTGCAAATTTAGGTGCAAATTCCTACTGCCTATTTTTCTGTACTTTTTAATCAGTGAATGTTTTCATCTGTAGTCAAAACATCCCAAATGAAACCATCTCGGAATCTCAAAGAGCTCAGACAGTGCCAAAGAAAAAGTCCAAGAAAGCAGGTATGCTCAATTCATAAAAACCTTTTTGATAACAGTAAAGCCAGAAAAAATTGAGTAGGTTAATAAGCATAATTGAAGCTAATTTGTTTAGTCAACCAGTTATTTTTAATGCACTGAGGATTTATTTCTTCAGCAGTCCACAATGAGTAATCTTGAGTAAAAACAGTTCCCCCCCGACGATCCAAAAATGTATCTCCAGGTAAAGGTGGGGTAAACAGATAATCTTAGTCATCTAGGTATCACTTTGATGAACTAACTGACACTTTTTATTGTATAACCCACATGTCATCTGTCTTTAATCAAGGTCCTTTTCAGGTAGAGGTGGCATAAACAAATAATCTCACTCATTCAAGTATCCCTTTGATGAACTCTCAGTTTTAATTGTTTTACCATTACCCCTTGACTTGAAAATGACAGCTTTTGAAACTTTTTTCTAGTGTCATTATTATCATTTATTAACCTTCACAAAACTCACTAGCATAAAATGGAATGCAGATAAAATGACATTTGTCTTTTTATAGATAGATTGATAAAACAGTAGTTTTTGTTTTAAATAAAAATGACATGGCAAATTTGTTAAATTTGCATCTATAGCATCTGATAAATTAAGATTACTTCCCAGGTCTGTTAAAGACCTTCTAGAATCATATAATTAATAGCCAATCCTTGATTTTTTTTCTCATTTTCGGTCTTCTTTCTTAATAACAGTAAAATATTCAAGGCATGTATAAATGCCTCAAATAAATAATTCAAAAGCAGTGTATTTGCTTTACTAGGATATTGGTGTGATTGATATATATAAAAACAATTTTTCTTATTTAATAATTATTATTCTCTTAACAGCCCACAAAGAACATGATGAGAAAGTTTTTAAGCTTCAGAAGGCATGGAGACAGTCTGAGTTTGTGGTCAGTTGTCTGGAGGGTCACAATGACCTGGTCATTTCTGTGGCTCTAGAGAAAGACTGGCTGCTGTCTGGAAGGTAGGCACTCTACACATATGGTAATAATAATAATAATAATAATAAGTTTATTTAGATATAGCAACCAAAAGGTTGAAGTTGTACGTAAAGTGCAGGGGCGGATGAGGCCGTCTTCTGGGTCTTCCGGAAGACCGTTAGATTTTCAAGTTTACATTTATTGGTGTCTTATCTTTTCTGTTGGAAGACGGTCAAAAATGGAGGGTAGATCAACAAAGATAGTTTGGAAGACTGTCAGAAAATATCTCTGGATCCGCCCCAGAAGTTATTGCTCAGAGCAAACTTTACAAATTAAAATATTTACATAAAGGATATACAATAAGACCAAAATAAGTTTGAAAAAGCACAGGACTCTAAAAGTTTGATAAAAGAAAAGGGGATAAAATAAAGTATGTACCAAAAAAAAAAAAAGACCAAGATTAGTTCCAAAATAAAACACAGACCACTAAATGTTTGATAAGGAAAACTACATTAGGGTTTTTTTTTAATGTTCGATTCTAAAATTTTGGTACACACAAATTTGACAGGCTGTACCTTAGTTTTCTGTGTGGTTTGCAGGTTAATAGGTTATTCAGCTTGTCATTTTTTTTTTATTTTCAAAAAGAATGATTTGCAGTTTTATGGGCTACTCCTTTAAAGTAAGAAGCTTTGCTTTGACTAGGGCATCAATGTATGGTAACTCAGGGACTATAATTTTAAGTGACCTCAACTGGATGGATTCTATTATTTTGCAATGTTCCCTGGTAAATCTGGGGTGCCACACAGGACAAGCATATTCAACAAAAGACCAGATTAAACTGGTGCAGTTAATGCAATTGTGTACATGCTTTCTTATAGGTAAAATCAACATGTTCAGACCATTTAAAGTTGTTAGTGAGAAAAACACCCAAAAGTTTGAAATAGGACTCTTCAATCCTCTAATATCAACTGATTGACATTTTGGCACAGCTTCTGTAAAATTTACTGTCATAGATTTGTTTTGTGATGTTGAGTCTCATATCGTTTCTTTTTTTTGTCCAGTCAGTGATTTCATTTGTGGCCTGTTGGATGTTACTTGTAGCTTTAAAGTCACACACAGTTGTATCACAAAGTCGTAGTCTGGCTAGCTAGCCTTAAAGTTGTTGATCATGATAATTAAAAATAATGGACCCAACAATGTTCCTTGAGGGACGCCATCCTCATCAGTCTCTTCATTTCTCAAGAGAGCAACTGAAGCAATGTCAGCACATGTGAAATTCCTGTATAAAATTCATTTTTTCAATATTATTTTGATAATGCAATGTACTTAAAAAAAACCTGACACAATTTTAATTTAAAACAAGTCTGAATGCTTGCCTGTATAAGCAAGTCACATAATTCTCTCAATATGATCTGTTTCAGTCGTGACACCACAATGAAGTTATGGGAAGGCAGTACAGGCAGGGAACTGTACAGTTTTGGTGGCCACACAGACAGCGTGACAGCAGTCCTCTTTATTCCAAAGGAAGATTGTGCTGATTTAGGTAAATGAACAGGATAAGATCAGATGGTACCACTGTAAGACAGGGGTCATTGATTATCAGTAATTTTGAATTGATATTAAGTATCTACTTTTTCTCATTTATTAAATATTGGGAAGTATATGTATTAAATGTCCTTTGTTTTGTTTCTTTATTTTATGATCATTAGTTTATTTCATTCCCCAGTTAGGGATATGTGTAAAATAGGCGAAACACCCCAATTTATAACGGTTTTCACAAATCTTACATTCTTGTCTCTACTTGTTTTTTTTAATTACCAAAACCACATACTTTTAATTGTTTTTAATTTTCACTTTTTCATCAGTTTGTAAGTATCATTTTGTGAAACAGTATAATTATTGTTAATTTGCTGCTTTACGTAATTCAATGCACTAGAAATGATAATTCTCACAGGATGCTTTCAAAGTGTGAATAAGTAAATAAAATCACTTCTAGTTACAGAGATATTTTGAAAACTTCATCAATTTCAGAGGCCAAGCAATGCATTTGGTTGAATTCACAACTCTTAAAATATATATATTACTTATTTTTTTCAATGACAATTTTTTCAAGTTTCTACTGTAGATGTAAGGAATCAGGTAAAACAAATAGTATTACATGTTTAGTGAATTCAGTATATTTTGCCTGTCTAATTACGCATATAATGTCCTTTTTAGCTGGCCAATATGAACTGGCCGAAGATGACCGTCTGCTGGTCAGTGGGTCCATGGACTGTGCCGTCAGACTGTGGTCACTTAAAACAGGTAAATACACCATGGAAAGCGTTTAAAAGTGTTTTACCTCTAAAATGGTTATGATTTACTTATGAGTAGGTCTCCTATAAAATTTTTATAATATTATGAATAGAAAATATTAAAATATTAATGGTTTGGATTTTCAGTTGCCTAATGTTAAAACAAATTTTAGCTTTAACAAATTATAATGTAAACTATTAAGCAATGTTTTGAATACCTGGAGATTTTCCAACTCATTTGGGCCTTCATCAGCTTGGGGCCTATTTCAATAAGTCTGAAGTAATGTTGCCAACTTAAAGCTTACTTAGACGTCTAAACTGGGATATAGCTGACTCCCTAAAATTAACTTTGAGATATAGGTCCATGAACATTTTACAAAGGCATTGCTCACAATAAATGTAATTGACATACTTAACTATTTGCCTGTACTGAGGGTTAGAAATCACTGTCAAGAAATTTGACTAGAGGGTTACGTTGGAAAAAAATTGTTAAGTGACCTTTTATGTTCTTTCTGAAGTGCAATTGCTAGTCTTTTCTGGAACTAATTTTCCAATTTCATTATTGTTAACCAGGCCTTTATTGATGTCTGAAAAGTTAAACATTTTGTACTGATGCTGCCCCCTGATATAAATTCTGATATTTTTTTATGTACATAGGTTGCATGGTGAAGTCCATCTACACCTATAACCCTGTGACCTGCATGACATACTGTACGCCAGGCAGGCTACTGGTCACAGGCTCAAGTAAGTGGGAAATTACTTTACAACTGTCCAGACAGTAAGGAAAAGGGATTTTAAAACAATATTGACAGCAGACCAGGCTTAAAAATGCTGGTGGATTTAGATGGAAATTAACTGCAGTCAACACAGCCCTGTGAGCTCACATGAAACAGAAAGCTTCATAACCTGCTTCTGTACCTGTCAAGCCTCTCAACCTCATCAGAAGTCTCATAATTTAGGGACTTGTCTCTGGATTCAGAGACATATGTATAAATGTTTATTAATTTAGTCAATGAACACTGAAGGTTTATTTATTACCCAAAAGACTGTATGTAAGGCAGTATATAAGGAGAGGGTGACAATATCCTTGAAGTGAGTTTAATTTATGCTCATAAATGCAGAGTGACATATTCCAGTAATATACCTTATTCGCTTTGCATTGTATATATCTGATTTTCATTATTGATCCACCTTTTACATTGAAAAACAAAACTACATAAATTAATGCATTGAATGACACTTATTTTAAGCTTTACTTAGATAAATCTTGGACAAATAAAATGAGACAAAATGCAGTAAAAATGGAGGAGTGGGAATAAACTTTTTCTGTTCTAACTTAAAACTCTCTGTATATTTGCCATATAATTATATTTGTTTTATATAAGGTTTTATTGTGAAGAGTCCAATAATGTGATAATTCCGTGTGGGATGCAGTCCACAAGTTCAGTGGGGAGCAAGAGCACGTATGATCTGCTTATTTGACACAGGGACCTAAAGGAAAGAAAGTGGCCCTTGGACCTCCATTTATTTATCTAAGGGTAAAGCAAAATTAATAACCTTTATTTTTTATAGTTAAACTGTACCTAATACCCATTTCTTTATCAGGTGGAGGCAAGGTGGAACTATGGAGTCTTGCGACTGGAGAAAATATCTGTTCATTGGTAGCTTTTGATGAGGCTACAACGTGTCTTAGGGTAAGTGACCTATGAGCTCCCTGATGCCTAGGGAGAACTTAATAGCATAACTCTGCCCTTTTCACTAGCAGGAATCAACTTTAAAAGGAAAAGTAATATGTATGAATATTGTAAATTTGGTTTCTTTGCCCTGTTTGCTGATTATTTGACTGTATATGTTTTCATTGTAATAAACATCAGGTATCACTATGAAAACAATCAGTAAGTCACAAAGTTGCCTTTTTCTTTTGAAGATGATATTTAATCTTGTTGGATAAAAGAAGTAGTAGTATTAGCAGTAGTATTATAATATATATGGTGGCTGAGCATGTTTTCAGGCTTTGGGTAGAAACAGATGGTGACTGAGTTAAATTGCCTATTTTTAAATATTGAAATTGTTAAATGAGAAAATGAATATATCCATTTTTTCTAGATGGATGATGACAAAATTTACAGTGCCTCAGCAGATGGATTCATCAAAATTTTCACCATCAAAGATGGAAAACTAAGTCTTCTTTTTGAGTCAGAAGATGTTAAAGGAGTCAATGGAGAAGACTTGCTGTTAAGACACATTCGTTCCCTATCAACCAGTAAAGATACAATATACTATGGGGATGATGGGAGTAACCTCAAGGTGCTAAGTTGGAAACAAGGTATTATAGCAGTCTTGATTAACATATAGTACACTGAATGTTTTATCAAATCTTGAAGTACACTACTGAAAAAATGAACAAATGCTCTGATTAATAATTGATATTAAATATTATTAAATGACTGTATAATTTATTACTAAGCAGACCTGTCGCAAGAGGGATTTTGCCTTTTTTTTCCTGGAAAAGGTCTGCTCTGAATAAAGTTTGATATATACATGTAGATACACCAAGGTTTCATGGTCAAAGGTCTGCTTTTTCAGAAAAAGAACCCCCTTTGAAATTGCTGGCTGTGTGTCTGACTAAAGCATGTTAAAGGTTTGAACATCAATTTCTTTATAGGTATTGTCCACAAGTTAAAGAATCATGTCTGTGAGTTTGGGTCTACAGATGCCGTGGCAGTTCTGGAGGACCAGGTGCTGCTGACAGCAGGGTTTGATCTAGATAATGGATGTGGGTATTTTAATGGTAAGAAAAATGTACTTGCTAGTAATATGGCAGTCAACCACTCAAGCAACATTTAGAATTATAATTATATGCTCCTGCCAACCTGGTGCAGGAGCAATAGAAAAGCCCTCAATCTGTGTACTGATCACACTGACCTAATTTTATTAGTAAAGGTTGTTTTTTTTTTTAATCTGCAGCAGCTTATGCCTGAACTCCTAGCCTTTGTACTTCTTAGTAGAAAGAGTTTTATGAGTATCCAAAGCATGCTGTTTTTTATTGAGCAAAATGTTGGGGTATTCACCATGAATTTAAAAAATAAATAATATTTAACTATTTCACTGTTGGTCAGTGCTTGTATAAGAAATAAAAAATTTCCCACTCTTAGTAGCAGAATTAAAATTTATTTTTGAACTAAGTACCTGAGCTTAATTTATATTTGCCAATGTCTTCAAGTTTGCAAACAATAGCATACAGTTCATAGTGTTGCCAGTCTGAGTTAGTGCTAACACTCGGCAATTAAGCCAAATGCTAAAGCTGACTTAAATTGGCTAAACAAAATAGGGTTGATTTGACTAATTTTAACTTTAATTAATTTTAACTGGTGATTTGGCTAAGCCAAAAAAAATTGCTAGCGCTACCCCAGCCAGCGTTTATGTGAGGTAAGGAGGATAGGTAGTCTACATACAAATAACTGAGAAACAGAATAATACAATTATCTTTCTGTTGTGCTAGTGAGAAGTTTACCAGAAGAGCAGTATCTGTCCACTGTGAGTAGTGCAGACACAGGCCGGATGATGTGTCTACAGTGTACACGCCTTCCTCATGGTGCAGTGAGAGTGGCCACTGGAGGAACTGAGCTGAAAATTTGGGAACAAGTAAAGACAGGAATGAAAATTTCCAGGTATTTGTTACATTGCTTTTGGTTCTGGTGCTGTAGCTGTGTAGTTAAGAATTGTTGACCATACTATGTCAGGCTCCCTCTGGTAGAATGTTCCCCATGTGTGAAAAAAAGGAACTTTTACTAAAGAAGGCAAAAAATTTTGAAAAACTATGAAAATTGAAAAATTTATTATCCTTTAGACATTATAAAATGGTTTGGCTTTCTGTTGTTGCCGTCGCCGTCACCCTCGCTGTTGCCATCTAGACTTCAGTTGGAAAACCAGTCTGATTGGTTTATATTTCTGGAAGTTATACAGTTTTTTGTTAAATGCTAATTTTTCACAAATTGGCATTTTCAGGGAGCGACTTTGAACTTCCATGGGCTTGAAGACCTTTCCTAGTTGTTTATTAAAAATTGATGGTTATTATGCTGTTAAGCATTATGTAATATTGCATCATAATTGAAGAAAACTAGTAGAATAGTAGATCATCAAAAATTGGTGGTGATTATGCTGTAAATCATAATGTAATATTACATCAAAATTGACCAAAAAAAAACTGCTTCATGTACTGCCAACACAAACACTATGAAAAGAAAACTATGTTACTTATTATTTTGTAACTTATGAGAATGATTCTTAGGATTGACAAAGAGCTCAAATTGGAAAACCAGCTTCATTTTGTGAAATTTTCATTTTTCTCAATCTGGCATTATCAAAGTGTAAACTTGAATTCTCATGGGCCTGAAGCCTTATGCTAGTTACACATTTACTTACATCCATATTACCTGTTGTGCATAATTAAAATTTGGTGTTGACTTTGCAGTTAAGCATAATGTGTTATTGTATCAGAATTGACAGTAGACTATTTTGTACATCGTTATTTTCTGCTTTTTGTCTAAACATTTGACATCTGTGCTGCCCTGTTAGAAGTTCATTTTAACTAAAAGTGAATTTTTAAGCGTAAATCAAAGGACAAAATTAGGAATTACAAAAAATTATTTTGTGTGCAAATCTACATCAGATATTCTGGGTTCAAAATATTGTGGTATTTATTTTAGTTTAAAGCCCACATTTACCTTTTAAGGAATAATTTAGCACCATTAAATCCAGTTTTCTGTTATTAATCTAGATGTTTTGTAGGGCTAGTTCACCAATAATGTACAACAATTTATAGCCACAAATGAAAGAACTACTTACCTTACTAAACAACAAAATTAATGTGGAAACAACTTTTGATAATTGGACACACTTAATATCAATAGCAGTCTTTTGTAAGAAAATTTTATGTACAGACACAGTTGTGTCTCTTGTCGCCATCATCAACATCGTCACCTTTCACTTTCAGTGTTATAATGACAAGTCAAAAATTATTTGACCTTTTGTCTTAAAACTTACAGAACTGATGAATATTCATGAATTATTGGTTGACCTCTAAAATCAGCTTGATCCGACCAAATTTCCAATAGTATTCAAAAGTTTGAAAAGCATGTTGACTTCTTGTTAAAAAAGTAGATTTATTAAAGTAATTTGAAATGATATATTTGAAAGAGATAAGGTACATGGTATTGAAATATGTAAAGTGTTTGAAATATTTTATGGTTAATTGCAGTAAACCTGTCATTCTACTCTTTGTTCTGACAAGTTATTTGTTTCTCATGTATGTAAAATTAACAATACCACATTTCACGTTACTTGTACACATGCAAAGCTGGTTACTGTCTCTAATTAGGTACTGTTTTTTGTGTAATTAATGCTGCAAATATCTCTTTGGCAATGTTTGCTCTCTATGCTATGATTTACATAACCAGCTAAGTCAATGTTACCATGGTCCTGTTGTAAAATATTTCCTCTTAACATAGAGCATAAAAAATGTGCGACATTTTTGTCTGACAAGACTGGACTCGGCCACACCTGACAGATGACCAACCTCAGTTGTCATGAGGCTCCATGTCTTCACCAGCAATATAGTATCAGGGGCAGATTCAGAGATATTTTCTGACAGTCTTCCAAATTATCTTTGTTGATCCATCCTCATTTTTGACCGTCTTCCGACATAAAAAGTTAGATACCCGTCTATATAAAATCTTGAAAAGACTTGAAATTCTGACCGTCTTCCGGAAGACCCAGAAGACGGCCTAAATCCGCCCCTGAGTATGCTATCATGTAAAATGTGTTCTTGTTCCTCGGATGCTGCATCATGGTGGATTGATCCCCAAACCAATCATAATACACCTATCATAGTCAGTAGTTGCTTTCTTAGCTCCTGAGACAAGGTGAAAATAATAATAATAATAATAATAATAATAATAATAATAATAATACTTTGTTTCCCATTCAATTTGGTAAACAGAAAGCTGTGGCTGGTGTTATGGACATGTGTTCTATAACATGTTGTATTATCTTGCCTGATTTGGATATCATAATATAAGTTAAAAACATCTTCATTCTTAACAGATGTTAATTTAACAAAATGAGACCATGCAATAATGTTGCTATATGTATACTAATGCATCTAAGTACATCTAGTGCCTCTATCAAAACAAGCTTAAAATATGTGAATTCCATGATGCAAATTTTGTTCAAAAGAGGTAGAATCTATGAGTACATTTAGTCTAATATTTAGATAATGTTCTTAATATGTTCACATTTTGCTTGTTACATTAGTTCCAAAGTCAAAGCTTAAACCACTTCCATCCATCTTTTCCCTAAATGTCTTTTCAAAGATGGTATTCTGCTGCTCTGTGAAGTAATTTCTCCAGTCCCCAACCATTCCTTTACGATAGAAAGGTGAAACGGATTCATCAATGGCATCAGTGATGGCAGATATTCTTGTAGCTGGATTTTTTTTCATACTGTCGAATGATGTATAGTTGACAATCTTTTCCATGCTGACTGAACTAAGTGTTTTCCCTAAGAATTGAGAAATTTTTACAACAGCTTCTCTTGGGTCTGTTAACATTTCTTCATATTTTAGGAATAAGACATTTGAGTTTTCTTTACATTCGTTCCAGTATTCAAGGACATAGTCAAAGTAGCTACCATAGGCAACATGGCCACTGATAAACAAGTTAAAAAACTCATCCCAAGAGCCTCTGAACTTTCCAAACAAGGCATTACTGCGATAAAAATGATAATAGGAAACAGCAACATCCTTGGGGTTTCTGAGTACATGTATCATAGGGACCCTCTTCTGTTGTGATTGCTTTGGAAGATATCTATACAACATGTGTGTCTTGAGAAGGCGAGGTGCAGAGGACGAGGCAATTTTTTTCAAGTAAGAATGACTCACTCTCCCTGCATGGCAAAAGTCTGGCCAGAAAACCCTGCTAAAGATGGGCTGTCTGGATGCCTCCTCCAAATTTTGATGGTGAAGGATGAGAGAAACCATCTCTGTTATCCATGTTTGGCCTAAAAATTGCAAAGCATAATTTTTATTGTGTTAAAATAAATTAAATATTAAAATTAACATGTTACATAAAGGTCCCATGCTCATAAAATCAAAGAAGCAAAAAAAAAAAAAAAAAGAAAAGGTAATAGTAATTAATAATGTAAAATGTATTCAAATAAATGTTGGCAATACTAATAAACTATCAAGCGCTTCACTTAAACTGAAATATAGTGGATTTATTAAATATATCATACTGGCAGAATTTTTACAACACTTCTATAAGAAAATCATATAGTCTGTGGACTCATGACAGCCTGAAGACTATCTGAACTGTTAACATTACGTCTGGAGGACTTTCCTTGTGTCACCACTCATGGCGTTAATGATTGATGTGTGTTAATGATTTTTAATTATCATGTAAATCTGCTATTTGTCATATGTTTAGAATATTTACGAGTTGCTTCTAATAATACCCAAAATTTCTATGACAATCACCGTAGGAAATGTTTAGTATAGAAATTCTACAGAATCTATGATGGTGATGAAGAGATTCACTTACAAGTTGAGGGGGTCACTTTGATTGAGAAGAGTGTAGTATTACGTCTATATTCTACATGTACCAACCTGATTTGGGATATGCCGTTACTAAACAGTCACTTTGATGCATTTGGAAATTTTTGAAAATCTCTATTATTTCAGGGGGATGATAGCCAGGCATCAGAATTCCCTCATAAATATGCTCTCCTGGTATTTTATGCATTTTCTCTATATATCACGAAGCCCTGTTACCGCTTCTTAAAATACACTGCCTTTCATTACATAAGATATGGGTCAGAGTCCAAGACAAGCTAAGTGAACACCACTACCACAATATGGCTGTGTTTTGTTGTCGTAGACTGCTAGAGACTAAGGCTGCATTCACATGGAAAATCTATTTTCTAAAAATCTAAAAATCTATTTGCGGCATCTTGTGATCACGGTCTGTGCCCTGAATACCCCACGGCGTAATTATGGGCAGTGCGAGCCAGTTACTTCCAAAGCTGTAATTAATTCTTGGCGCTGCCAGTAATTACGCCGCGGGGTATTCAGGGCACAGACCGTGATCACAAGATACCGCAAATAGATTTTTAGATTTTTAGAAAATAGATTTTTCATGTGAACACAGCCTCATAGTCAGAGCAGTCTCAACCAAGCTCAATCAGTCGATCAGTGAAGCAGGTTTAATTGTATTATACTGCATATTTGATTTTGTTTAAATATTATATTGGCAGTAAAAAGGAAAGCAGTTTTCTGATATTTTTATTTGGCTCAGGAAAGAAAACAGGTGAAAATGCCAGATATTAGCGTATTCAAATATGTTATATATAGATATTTATTTACTGTTAAATGTGTAGAAATGTTTGCTATAACCTGAATTATCATACATATAAGCCGGCCAGAGGCTAAAAATATATTTAAAAATGTGAGTTCACAAGTGTTGTTAGATTATATGGATTAGTTTTTAGCACTGATTTTCCATGTACTTTCCATAGCCCACACCCTATTACATACATCTGTAGATTCTGTTATGGACTTTTATGAGGGTCCCATTGGGTATTTTCTTTACCTGTAAAAGTATTTTTATTTCCCAGGATGCATGAAACCTCTGTTTTATTCAACGTCATCCATGAAACACCCCATTCCTGTGACTCGTGAATGCGACTATTTATTCTTTGTCATTTGTGAAACGCAATTATATTATGTGATTCGTGACTTTTAACTTACGCTCATTGCATTTTTAATAACAAATGAATAAATGTTTCCCCTTCGATAGAGGTCAGGTTTATTCCCTTGATTTGTGAATTGATGACTTTATTTCTAGTGAATTGTGACCACTACCCCCCCAATGGGACCCTCTTTTATGTATCAGGTACTTATATATAATTTCCTCTGTCCCACCTGTACTTTGCATCCTAACAATAGTTCATACTGGTGCACTTTCTGTCACCCAGTTATGAGCACCCGAAGTAAACTATTGATAGTGGAGGTGAATTTCAGACAGACTGTAAAACCTGAGTGGCGTGGCTGATGAGGGCACTATGGGGTCATCTGTACTAATGAGGTCATCTGAGTTCATACTGGGCCGCTATCAGAGCAGTCTGATCATTGGACCCCACTGGATACACACTTAATGATGGTAGTGAATGTTTTGTTGGCACTTGAGGTCACACTACCTGACAATGAGCTAAAAATAAGGGAGTATCCCTGACGCAGGCTAAATACATAATACTGACACTGAGCTACTGTATATAACACTGACACTGAGCTAAAAGGGAGTATCACTAACAGGTTATATATATATATATGTGACACTGGCATGTGTATTGCAATCAAGCAGTCAGAGCAGTTTATGTGCTCCTCTTGCTGTCTTCTACATGTCACTGCCCTCCTTTACTGAGATATTAGTTTCAGCTTTGCTTTTTGCTGTATTCTAATAACATCATGAGTTGATTCATTGTACTGCTGTTGTTAGCCTTTGTGAGTTCCCTTCATGGTCACACTCATTCATTTATGAAAGATATAACAGAAATCTGATAGAAAGATAGCAATTTAAGTTCAGTGTGAATTAAAGTGTTTTGTTTTTAATATAACACTACCATGTGGAGTGTAGCTGCATGTTTTATGATATTGTATTCAGCAGATGGTGTACTTAACCTGACACATGGCACACAGGGATACAGGGTCACCTCAGGACACACTGTGGTTTTTCTCTTAGTTAATGTCATGATGACCTGGCTAAGAGTATAAAATCTCTCCCTTTAGGGGAGTGTTGAACAATGATTGTCATTATAGTGGCACTGTTTTTCCTCCTTATATATCGTATATATATCAACTGTACAAGTTCCTACAGTATTTATAAGATATATATATATATATATATATATTGAACAAATGACAGACATCCAAATCTTAACTGATGTCTTAGATTAATAGCTAGACTTTTGGTATAGTTTTTTTTTAATGTAATGTTTGACTTTTTGTTAAATCACCATTCATATTTTTTTGTTTTCTGTCACAAAATTGGAATATTACCTAATTTGTACTGAAGAATTTTATTAGCCAAATCAAGAATCAGTTTAATAGTGCCTTCATTTTTTTTTTTTTTTGTCAAGCACATCTTTAATGTAAGAATTGACTGTTTAGTATTCCTGATTTGCGTGTGACAATAAATGGTTGCAATTAATGACCTCACGATGAGCAAGAATCTTAAAAAACAGTCCAGCAACGGCTATTGACAGGCTTGAAAAAATAATTGTTACAGTTAGATTTACAAAGAAGTGATTCCATGTTTCATTTGGTGTACTATATTTTAATATTAATTGGATTCTTTTATGGTATTGAACTATTTTAAAGAAGCAGTTTAGATTTAATAGGTTTAATCAGCGAATTCTTCCTTTATGTTTAAATGTCATAACATATTCAAGTTGCTTTTATCACTCCTTTTAACTTACATATAAAACCCAACTTTTAGTTACAAGAATAAACATTATTATTATAAAAAATATACATGACTGTACATTAAAATATTGGGATTGAATCTGTTAATGATGATGATGGCAGGGTATTTTTCTAACAATGTGACAGGTATTTGTCCTAAACACAGAGTTTGGTAGCTTACTTAAGACACTTTTTATTGAAGTATTCACATTTTGCACTTAACAGGCATAGTCATTGTACTTAACAGGCATAGTCATTGTACTTAACAGGCATAGTCATTGTACTTAACAGGCATAGTCATTGTACTTAACAGGCATATTCATTGCACTTAATAGGTTGGCTTCTTTTAATACAGCAAACATGAAGTTCATTCAGGCCATCATGGAGAAAATTCTAATGAAGGCATTTTTTCAAACAAAAAGTTAAAATATTTGGGAGCACTTTTCTTCCTTAACTTCTAAACAATGGCAGATATTTTTTAACAAACATTAATATTAATATTTTAATCATTTTTTGTCAAAATTTCTGTTATTTTTTATGTTATTATTAAGGTTTCAGAATTTTTGCTTTTATCAATTATATATCATGGACATATTTGGTAATTCTTGCTCCTTTTAATTAACATAATTAGCATACATAATGGAAGAGAAGAAAGACTGACATTGTCAGGGGCGGATCCAGAGATATTTTCTGACAGTCTTCCACATTATCTTTGTTGATCCATCCTCCATTTTTTGACCGTCTTCCGACAGAAAAAAATAGGTACTCATCACTGTAAACCCAGAAGACAGCCTCAATCCGCCCCTGATTGTGACATTGATTTTAACATTACCTATTACTTATTGGCATCACTTTAAAATCAGGGGGAAAATATTAGCAGCATGATAAGTTAACACAATAAATGATTCACTTTTCATTTTCTCAAATAGTGCATGATGCTGTCTTTCAGACAAAATGGGAGTGCTTTTAGTTTATGCCAGGTCCTCAACTCACGTCTCCCCTGCTGTCAGAGACTGTACCTGTCAGGGTCTTAGCTATCTTTATTTTCCTTTCAATGTCATCTAACCATTGCGTGCACTGTCCCATTCCTATTAGGAAGACATATGGAGGCACGAAAGTGGCAAAAGGAAACACGAGTGAAGAACACAGGGTCTCACTGTCTCCGTCACTTTCACTTATGATGCAGTGTAACTTATGATGCAGTGGTAACATGGCCTTGACATATGGTAATATTAACAACAACCAACATTTCTGTGCAAAAAAACAAAGTAGAATGCCTTGAACACTTGAAAAGTGAGGAGAGTAATGGACAAGATGTGTTGTTGGGAACATAATAGTCATAACCCTGCATATGAATGATAGAAGATATAATTGTACTTGAAATAACATCAACAGCTTATACAGCAAGCAGGGCAGGTGCTATAGACACCACTGGAGTTGACCATTTACCAGTAGTACCCTCAAGTTCCCAATTGGGAACATTCCAAATGAACCTTTTCATAGGTGTGTTTTTTGTGTGGATAGGCCACTGAAATACATTTGTGTAAAAGGGTATGATCCGCTTTTAGTATACTCTGCTAATTAAAAAAAAATTAAAGCTATAGAAAAAGTTCTCTATTGGATATTAAATTATGTAGCCTTAATCAAGTACTGGTAAGAACATAAAATGTCCCTTTAACAGTGTGTAAACTTGACCAGAGTGATTTCCTTGTCCAATGGGCTTCTGATCCAAAGCTGACTGTCTCATGATAACCCTTCTTAAAACTTATTTGACAGATAATTTGACATAATGGTTTGCATATACAGATTAAAGGTACATATGAACCGAGCATCAGTGGAGCGTGGATTCCCAGTAACACATGTAAACCATTTCTACAATTTTCTTATATGAATCAAATAAATTTGGCATGCCAAGGGATAAACTGAATAGATCACTCTATCAGCCATAAAAGAGCTTTAGACTGCTCCTTTCTTAAAATTTTTGGTCGGAAATTTAACCTACTTTCGTGACCTACTTTTCTGCCCCATTGACATACAGCATAGAATGCTAGCAGAAAAATCTGTTCAAACACCATTTTTGGGTAAAGTTAAAGGGATAATAACTCTTCGTATGAGATCTATATTTCACAATAAAAACATTGTGAATAACTCATAGAAATATAATATATTCTGTTTTACCACAAAAATGGCAGTTATAGCTATTTTTTCTGATATCTGAGCTTGTCTTTAGACCACGTGACCTCCATTGAAAGCTGTACTCTGTTAATATCTCTTAAGAGATTTTAAGAAAAAAACAAACTTTTTAGAAAAAAAACCAGGGAGTAACTTTGAATGTAAAAATGGATTCATTAACCATTGGTAAGTATGGGAAAATTGTTGTTTACTCCGGGAAAATTCATTTTTTGGCTGAAACAAAGAGTTATTATCCCTTTAAACAATGCCTTTTGGTAATTCTCTTAGTTATACTACTTGAAACTATATGCTGGCATTTGGTCAGTTTTTGTGGCAAAAAATTGACTTTGTATGCATCTTTAAAAGAAGAGACATTGAATTCATAAACAACACATTAAATACAGCAGGTTGTGAAAATGAAGCTCTTTTGTAAATGATTAGTACAAATTAGTAGGTTTCTCAGGGAGAACATACAGTCATGTACATTTGTACCTGTTCCTCCTGCATGAATAAAAGCAATTAAAATAATCATATTATTGGGCGAAAAAAATCTTTTTTGGATTGCTCTTGTTTGTCCTTTACAAATTCATGTTAAAATTTTTTCTTTTTTTTTTCAATAGTTTCTTAAACTGCATCGTGACAACTTTATCTTTATTGTGATTGCGATATTTTATCGAATCATTTTACTCAAGAATATGTCTTAGATTGGTTCTTTCTTTTGTTTGAATATTTTACAAACCCTGATGTTCATCTTTAATGTTCAGATTTTATATATTAACCTTTTAACATGGAGAGCATATGGTGTCAGTGTCTTTTCAATTTAAATGTAACACACAAAACCAATCAAAGCAGAAAAGACAGAATGCAATTGAAATAACTAAGTTACTATAAAATATACAAAATAACTATAAAAAATTTGTGTAATGTTTCTTTGAATATCTCTTGTCTCTTTTGGTCATATCAGTTTCTGTTATACATGGTATAGCCATAGTGATTCTTTAATTGTTGTAGTTATCTAAAGTATGTCCACTCATTTCAAATCAAATACAAATTTATTAATATGATACATTATTGTCCTTTGTGGCCAATAATTGCTGTCACAGGTATTGTGATAGACAATTAGGATACTGTTAACCTTTGCCCCAAACTCCTTATTAATACATTCTTTTGGATAGCAGATAAATCTTCCGTGTTCAGTGTCTTAATTAATTAACATTTATACACACGTCATCCTACAGGTGATATTCACAATTTAACAGCTTTGGGATAGTGACATTCATCTATTATATAGATAAAATTATTTAGATAAAAGATATTTCAGTTCAGAAATTCCCACATGCGTGACTGCATACAATGTCAAACTGGTTTAAGTGAGTGAACAGGGTTGTACAATATTGCTACTGTATCTGGAACGGAGTCAAAAAGTTGGTTGAGGAGTTTTGGTTTGTAATCAGTCCAGGATAATTCCATATTTGGTCCATAAAAGTAACACGTACAAGTGTATCTAGGTCTAAATCGTTGGTTGTTATGTTCTTCTAATTAATTGGGGCAGTATTTCAACAGAGTGGTGCAGGTGCCACTGATCGGTGTGGTCATAATACCAGTAGCTTTACACTTTAGATCTAGCAGTGAAGACCAGTATTGGGTCTTCAGTTGTTCTGTGAATATGCCCCTGCTCTAAAACAAATTGGTATGGGGCTCTAAACAAAACACGCAAAAGGTCCATTTTCCCCTTGAAGATATGAATCCCTCATCTCCAGCTTCTGTTATTTTGCTTTTAACATACTTGAATATTGTTTCACATGCAAGGTAACTATTCCACAAAGAATTAGTGCATGTGTGTTGTGAAATATGCTTATAAAGTTAAAGGGATAATAACTCTTTGTATGAGATCTATATTTCACAATAAAAACATTCTGAACAACTCATAGAAATATAATATATTCTGTTGTACCACAAAAACGGCAGTTAAAGCTATTATTATCATATCTGAGCTTGTCTTTAGACCACTTGACCTCCATTGATGGCTATACTCTGTTATAATATCCTAAGAGATTATAACAAAAAAACAAACATTTTAGAAAAAAAAACAGGGACTAACTTTGAATGTAAAAATGGATTCATTAACCATTGGTAAGTATGGTAAAATTGTTGTTTACTCCAGGAAAATTATTTTTTGGCCAAAAAGAAGAGTTATTATCCCTTTAATGCTTGGCTTAGTTGTAGGATGAGCATTAGCATGCTCACATAAAATGGCAAGTAATTTAACTAAGTATTTTTGACCGGTGATTCAGTCAGTCATATGTGAAATGCAGGGTCAGGTTGAAAATAGGCCCAATTGGATAGTTCATGTTGTCAAATAGTTATAACTGCAATATTTGTGAAATTGTTTTTGCTGAAATAAGCCATGATGGTGTCTATTGAGGTGTTATTCTACAACTGTGTGGGTATTGGGCTGTCACATTTTCTGAATCTCAACAATTATGATCATAAGCTATTGATTTAAAGTTGAGGGTGATTAAATAGTGAATTATTATGAAGTGAAGCCTTCCAAAAGTGAAGTCTTTGTGCCTTACGGGAGATGAGATAACTTAAATGATCTCTAATGTTACAGTATCAGTCTGCATGCTTGCCAGCTTTGATGTCTAGTTGTACTTTTATTTATTTATCTATCAACTTAATTGTTTGTTTATTTAAACAAAGATTCCAAAATATTGACAAATGTATTCATCTGTTTTTTCTTTCTTTTTTATTATATGATAAAAAAATTATGAAAACTGCACTACACAAAGTCTAGGTCTCAGTGCTTACAAATGTTACTATGCATGTATAAAATCTAGAACTGAAATACAAAGATTAATTTAAAACTGATAAAAAAGAAAATAAAAGCTGAAAGGAACATAAATTTACCATAAAATTATTTTAATTAAATTGTTTTTTCCAATTTCTCTTAAAACTGTCAAAAATATCACTAATAGAAACCAAATATTAAGAAATAAACTGAAAGCTGCCATAGACTAAAAACTGAAATAGAAATATACCATATTATTCTTTTAATGGAATTGTTTTTTTCAATTTCTCTCAAAACTATCAAAAGTGTCACTTATAGAAACATTTGTCCTGTTAATTGATCAGACCATAAAATTGATGCTGCAATCTCAAAATTTCTATGATTTGATAGTCTTTTTGTTTGTTTGTTTGTTTCTTTTTGCCATCAGCATTTGCCCACCTGGTGTTAGTGTTCAGATGGGACTTGCTACATATTTGATAAAAGGACAATCACCCTTTAAGATCTTAAAGGGCATGAATAGCATTTTATAAACTATCAGTTGATATGTTAGTAACCAAGGTAAATCACACACACAAAAATTATTGAAAAAGTAAAAAAAAAAATAGTATAAAAAATAATAAAGGTTGCACAGGATTACTGCATAGATTTATGTAGTCGCAGTGCGTCGCAGTTTTGAGATCCAAAAGTATGAGCACCTGTAGGAATTACATGGAGTTACACTTATTCTGGGCTTTTCGGAAAAATTATCTTGATAAAAGCACCTTGGATATCAGATTCTGTTGGTACTGTAGTGTCCATGTCAGGGCTTATGGTGATAGGATAGAGGGGTCAGTGTTTTGACTCAGAACCTTGGCGTGACTCTAAATGAGATTGTTTTGTACCTTCACATGTTGACAAATGATAACAATGATGTTGCATGTACACCTGTACAAGTAAGAATGATGTGGAGTTAACAGCTAGATTGCATGTTTACATGGCATCATGCGAATTGGAGGCTGTCATGGAATGCTCTTCCCATGATATTCACACATGACTAAATGACTTTTCACGCATGACCTAACAGGAGACTTTCTTAGTAATTAATGGAACTTTGACTTTCTGAACAGGACCTTAACTACACTGACGACGTCACTGACCTTGCTTGTGTTCACCAGTATGGAATGGAGTGTGTGTGCAAATTTTGGAAATTTTTGAATTGATCCTTCCTCCATGTCTCTGTCACTAAATTTTAAATAGGATTATTGGAGAAAATAATGGGATAGCCAGGACAGCCTTATGTCTTAACACAAACCACAAATGGGTCTCTTACAGGTGTTCATGAAAGTTTTACCTTGACCTGCATACTAGGGTCACTGAAGTCCTCTTTATAAAAGTGATGGCACAGGCACTACCTTGACATAATGATCTATGACTCTTTCTAATATGAGCTATTGGTTTCAGATATTATTTGAAAAGCAATTATATCTATGAGATGATCAAAAATAGTCATTGCATGTCAAAAAAAAAAAAAAAAAATCTCATAGAGGCTGCCATCTTTTCATACTGATGGATTAAATATAATATCAAAATGAATAGTTTTTTTTCAAAAAAAAAAAGAAAAAAATCTCAAGTGACCAACTTGAGCGTCACCTACTATTTATCTACTTCTCAAGCCACATCTATGCCACAGTCCAGTTATGTGACTATGGGCTGAGTGCTGTATATAGCAAACCACAGAGTAAAATTAACTTGATTTAAAATTTAATTTCATTTGAAAATCAGACATTAGTCTGGTTTATGGCACATTTTCTGGTTAAAGTAATATATGTTGTTAAAGGGGACATAGTTGGCTTTTTAACAGAGTCCTTACATTGTGAAATGAACTGTGCACTCACTATATGTTCCCTATTAGTTTTTGTACTAAGGTCATCCTCACCAAAAATTTATTATTTTACACCCTGAAGCGCTACAGTGTTTAATCTTTTATGTTGATTTTCAGCCTCATCCTGATAACTATTTTAACATGATATGAGGCCTGTGAAACTAACTGCTTACATAGCCTCCTTTTTTTTTTTAGATACAAGCAATTTCTTTAATTGACATATTTTGTTTTGATAACTCTGAAAATAACAACAAGCTGACCTTCAGATGACATATGCTTTTAAATTCACCACTTAGAACTTTGCTTCAGGACCTGTACTTTTTCTGATTATTATTATTAGTAGTAGTAGTAGAAGTAGTAGTAGTAGAAGTGGTAGTTTGATTTTATTAATAACTTAAATTTATTTAAAAAGACTTATGTTTTTTATTTGGCTTATGAATAATTAAAAAATTATCTACCACTACTGTGTTTTTCATTTGTATTTTCAGTCCCCTTCCTGTGAATGGCGCCATAGTCACCAGCCATTATAACCCTAAGTACACCTCTTCCCCACAGAATTCCGATATCGACTCTGACACCGAGACAGATGATGAGGGATCAACAGGTCTTTGATTTTGGTCCATCACATTTTATAATATTAATGCTAATATTAGCTTCTTGCCCGTTAATATTGTGCACTCAATTTTGTCTGCCGTAATTTTTCTCACTGTTTTCAGTATTGTCACCTAGTAGAATGTCCTAGCTGTAACTAGGTTTACAATTTATCTTGTCAGGTCTCTGGGCACGCTTCACAGGCAGCAGTGGAAGGGCAGGAACCAGAGGCCAGCCTCACAGAGAGTCTGATACAGAGGAGGACCTGGACCAGCCTAGACGGTGGTGTCGTCTGCTATGATTGGCCATTTTGGAAAGCATTTATCATGACTAGACATCCTTAATATTTAGAATTTTTGCATTTTTATTTTTATGCCATTTGTTTTTTTGACCACCACATTTAATAATTGTTCAGTGAAAGAATAAGGTACCTTTATGGACAGAATTTTGAGTATACTTATTATCAAAGTATAAAAGATAACAGGATTTTCCCTTATTATTTAACTGTTGGTGTATATACAGTAGATCAACAGGACAGTGGAATTTGATTTTTTTTTTCTTTTGATACAATTTTTTTCAAAAACAAAATGAAACAAAAGAAAACAAAAACAGGCAGATCAGGTTGAGGAACAATTATTGTTTATGTCATATATTATTATGCATTAGTTACTATATTAGATCTTGCATACCGACATGCCAACCAAAAACAACCCTAGAAACCCTGGCAAACAAAATAAATGTAACAGCTTCTGTGAAACATGGCACAAATGTGGCCAAGGTTTTATGATGGCAGTATTCCAATCAACTTCCTTTGAAAAGTTAAGTAATAAGTTAATAATGTTACAGTCTCTTATGCTGAACTTAGTAAATGGAAGGTGCATCTTCATCAAGTGAAAATGTAACTTTAAGATCCAAGAATTATGTCTAACTTGGAACTAGGGCTTAATATAAAGAATGTGTAATTGTCTATTTCAGGCTGCATGAAATTAGTAGGAAAAGGTCATTAGTATCACCATTTTATATTAAACACTGATCATAGACAAAAGCCTGTAACCATATAAAGGGCTTCTGTCTATGACTATTGATCAAATAAAGAAGGATAAAGTATTTATGATCTTCTTTGACAATACTATATAAATATATATAGTTATGAAAAACAAGGTGGCACAAAAGTTTGCAATTAATTAGGGATAAGAAATGCATGTAATGAGGCAAAGCATCACTCAAACAATAGATATAAAAATGCATTGCATTAATGAAATGAGTGATGACAATGTAACAGTGTATTTTCACTGAATGTGACATACTGGGGAGGATTTTTTTGGTTGTAAGAAAAGCAAGAAAATGCAAATAAAATGGTAACCTACAGCTGGATTGCTCAAATCACTTTATTCAGGTCAGTTACATCACTTGTTTTCAGAAGTTGCACATAACAGACATGATGTAATACCTGCAATATTGCCCACGAGAAAAGATAACACCTCTTATAAATATCATTTGAATCTCACCAAGATGAAAATTTCAACACAATTTCATAACCTTTTGAAGTTTCGTGCAATCTTTTGTTTTCCAAGTAGAGAGGAAACCACAGCTCAGTGTTGCGGTATCAAAATAACCTTATTACCTGGTCTTATTTCTGGAAATACTAGTGTGTTTATGTAAGGAAAATAACCGACACTTGCTCAGATTACACGTGTTTGGCCTTGGGAATGCTTTATAGCATCGATTTCAAAGATCAAGGGCTCTGTATTTTCCAAGATTGCTTTCAAGACCAGAAATGCGCCCTCTATCTTGAGAAATAAATGGTGAGATTCCAGAGACGAGAGCTGAAAAGGGAGAAAGGAAGAGAAGGGGGAAGAGAAAAGTGGGGAAATGGTTGGATTTTGTAAATTTGTATAACGTCTTTTAAGAAATCATAGTTTATAGAAACTATTCTTTAAAGCAGCTGTTGTAATGTGTCTTCCGATTAAAATTTACATAAAGATGTTTTGTAAAATCATAGCACACGACTTTCCCCAAATTTCACTATCTTTATTTTCTTTTTATTCCAAATAAATAAATAATTTATACGTTCATAAATCTATTAACACATGTACATAAGTTACACATACACAAATTACTGTTTTATTCACAGCACTTATAAATAATAATAACAATAATAAAAAGAAAAACACAAAACACGCACTTGATAAAATTACCAAACACATTTGAAGTTTCAACAATAATATGGTTCCTAGACTGGAAATTGAACATGCTCGCACTGCTTTTGTCCACAGCCGACAAACCAGGTTGTTTATTAAACACGCGTCCTATCACTTACTTAAATAACCGAAATATCAGTCATGGGACCCTCCAAACAAAAACCTCTCTGTCGAGGTGTTGGCAACAGAACTTTTCGTACGAAAACGCGGTCAGTGCACTTCTGTAAGCATACTTCACATCGTCATCTTATTATTGTTTAAATCATACTACTGACATGTTGCTACTCTTTCTCTTTTACCAACATGTACCATCATAAAACTGTTCTATTCTTGTACCTAAGCAATACAAATAACCAGAACAGAAAATGAAATGTCAAACAATCAGTGTCAGTAAACATATGGAACTCTGTCAAAAGAATACATTTTCAGCAGTTTACGAGCAACTCCATCTATCAATCGCGAAAAATAAAAATATCCTTTAACATTAAATGTAAAAAGTTACAATTTTCGGCTTAACGCCAGGCATTTCTGCAAATAGTTTTGCTGCTATGAATAATGAAATCACAACTCTAAAGGCACATTTACAGCCACGTAACACATAGTCCTGTGGGTGCAACTTCTCTTCCACTGGTCGTCTGATTAAGCTCTCTGAAGGCGGCAGGTAAACTAATTTTCCCGAAGTAAGTCCCCTGGTTCAGCGGTGAACGTTGAAACTGTGGGACTCATTTGTTGCCTCTGGTGAGCTTTGAATAATCAAACGACCTTGAGATAGTTCGAAATCATCTAAGATACCAAATAAGACTGTCACCACAGCGTGACGTCATACGAGACTGACAAGATCTTTGGGAGGGGGGGTAACATAATTTGTAGCGATAAGATTGCAACTCTTAGTAAGCAATACAGAACAGATACGCATTACATGTTTAATTCGTGCTGTTCTGCAACTGATTGTGATATTTCCCACCCCATCCTTCTCCAAATCCAGTCAAAAGTGGCTTAGGCCTATCTCAGATGATTTCCATGTTGACTGTAAACGCACCTTTCAGTTGTAGTGGGACAAGGGAAGTGCTGGTAAATAATAGCAATGAGATTGCGTGAACTAATTTTTTAAGTAAGATGAGGTCACACTTACATAAGAGAGGTAGATCCAAAATGTTTTGCTCAAGATGTTTAAAATTCTAAACCTAGGACACGAATTAAATGATCCTGATGAATACCTTTCATGTGTTTTCTGACTCGTTCTCAAAGTGAGTACGGTGTCCTCTGCGTAACGAGGTAAGAAACTATACACATCCAATCATTTTTGATGAAATAAATAACTTAACTTACGTTTCATAAACAATGCCGAAATTTTAAACATATATGTTCTTGTCAAAAACGTTTAGGATCTACGGAGGTAGAACTAGTAATTAATAAGTTACTTCCGTAAAACCCAACATACTACTGCATGCATTTACGGAAATAGCCAAATACCAACAATTGTGGTTATAGTGTAGATACAATTGGTTCAGTGCATCAAATGACTACGAGGTAAATCTTATCAATAGTGATTATCTAAAACAAAAGATGAGGATATAAATAAGTCAAAAAGTGATGAGGTAAAAATAGAGTTCTTTAATTTATCCACGATTTCTAAAGCATGATGAATAAAGACTCCACACATTCGGGGTACCTCAAAAGAACTAAGTGCGAACAAATTTTCGGTCAATAAATAAAAGCAATGAATAAAAGCATGTTCTATATGCAAGGGTATTCATTTGTTTAGGGATAAAATCACCAACAAATGAGACAAATAGCAAACAAATGAAAATAAAATGGATAAATATTGTTATGTCCATCTACACGTTGAACATTAACTTAACGACAACAGCATCATTGAAAATAAGTTAAAATCAAATTGAAAGCACCTCATTCGAAATGAAATCAGGGCCTGAGAGATTGCAATCCTCGTAAGCGCAAAAGGACACACATCATGTAAACGTCACTTTCACGTCATTTCGACGTCAACATGACGTCACGCGCCAACTAGAAGACCGTATAAATGGAGATAAAGGAGGTCAACTGCTTACAGTATTTCGTCTTTGTTTTTGTTTCTGTCTAGAACTGTACTTTCTTTTTTCGTTGTATTCTTGACGGGCTCCGATTGCTAGGTTTTCAACAGTTGGGTGTTTACATTTGGTAAATTTTTACAGTCTGTGGTTCATTATGCTGTCCAATTCAAAATAATTTCTACGTGTTTTTAATCATAAAACATAAAACTGAGATCACTTCAACTAAGCCCTGACAAACTGTCGACGTTGAAATAAATATATCTTAAAATGAAGTCACACACACGCACGCACACACACCTGGTTATCACTAATTAAGCCCACCCCTAACCCTTGAAACAGAAACCTCATTTTCAACATCACTCAAACCATTTTTCGGAATAAGCATTGGTCGAGGAAGAAGTTCCTATCATAATGAGCTTCCAGTTTACAGTATATATATACTGTAATTGCGATCAATCGGAAAGCCTGGGCTGATTTTGGGTATCATTTATGGAATTACACGTAGTGAACTGACAAAACGTAAGTCCACCGGAAAGTCTGTCGTGTCATTCACATATGTCACTGTTTAGAGCAGTTCACTTTCTGTTCCATTACATTTATCTCAGACACTAGACCCTCCACAGTTGGGTGATCCTTTCAGATGATTCCGTGGCTCATGATTCGAGGGACGGATTCAGCCGACGTGCCCCCAAAGGAAACTATACATCACACATACTGTTAGCATTCTCTAGGTGAGTAGACTTCTCAATAGGTCCTCCAGATGTGTATTGCTACACTTTAACTGTCCACAGAACAGGTTCTCTATCACCCTGACGTTCACGCTTAGTAGCGAGGGCAGAGCCATGAGAAGTCGGGTGTATTTCAAGGTTTCTTCGGGACCCGTGGTCCCAATATCTTCGCGGAGGAGCTGGAAGACGCTTTGGTAAATTTTCTCAATGTGGTCGCGATCGGTGAGCTCTAAACTTCCTGGAAAATATAAAAGATATAAAGGCTTTATTCATAAATAAATCGTGATAATACGTCATATCGTAAACGTGATTTATGCCTATAGAAAAACAAATGAGATTGGACCACGTGCAACGTGACAGATTGTAAGCTTTTTCACGTCGTTGCAACTGTATATGTTCTGTCATGTACAGGACTTAATACTCCAAAATTATCCACGAGTTCGCGTTATGTGGTTTAGGCGGAAGTTAATTAAAATGGTCGTGTTGAGCGCAGGGCTCTGCTTCGGTGATTTTCTGACTTGAAGCATACATAGTTCAAGCTGTCAATCTCTTAAAACATAGGCACTGCTTTATCAAATGGGCATGCTGCTAGATGAAAAAAGGCCTTAATAATTCATTTCATAACTTTCAAACAAATCGACTTGATGGTCTTTTATTTAAGTTTGCGTCATGTTTATGGTATTTATAAACGAATGACTTAGTTAACCAAACGGTTGGCCTTCAAATTCAGGGAATCGTGACTTCCTTATAGTCTGTAAATAGCATGTTGCAGCCGTACTTAACGATGAGTTTAAGACAGATCTAGGGCGGTCCAGTGGGCCTTAAGACAGGTCCAGTGCTAGTAAGAGACTGCTTGGTTTTTCCAAGTATAACTACCTTTTTACAGTTTTCTGGTTTATCCCTTTCGCTCTATCTCTCTATCATACATACACAGACACACGAGCGCGCACGCGTCCCCCCCCCCTCCCCCACACACACACACACACTACAGATGAAAAGCACAGTAAGTGCAAAAGTGCACTTTGTTCACCTACGCAGCTGGTTATTTTAAGGAATTCTGCGGATCGTAAAATCAATTACGACGGCATGGTACACGAATGCGCTTTTTTCCCTCCGGGTCTCCAGTTGAACGTGTACTTTTCATGACGGCGACCTGACCTTGAGAAACTCGGTTAATTATCCAGAGTGAACGACTTCGCCATAGTTATTATCTACAGTATCTAAAATAACACTGGATTCGCATCTGTTAATATTCGAAAGCACTGACTGGCACCAGAGCCATTGCCAAGAACTCTTTAGTTTCACCTGCTAACAGAGGATAACCGACCTAACGGTGTTAAACTATACCAAGGTTAATGACTGGAAGAATCATGGGAGGCACGACTGCAAGTAGAATGACAATATATTTGTCTCAATACACATGAGCTTTTCTCCAGAAGGACAATAAGACAGAATTAGTTCTAACTCAAAGGCCCAATACATGTACAAGTACAGGCGAACTGTCCTTGTGCAACAATTACATCTATCCCATTTTCACTAGACCCAGTTGCAAATTGATTCACTTAGCTAAAATGCGTAGACTGTACCTAAACAGAGACAACTTATGCATGTACATTTAATATACAGGGAATGCGCTGATTATGCCTACCAAAACCAAATTTAGCAACGATCGCTAACGTTATCGACCACCTTAACAATGTAACAAATATTTAGGTAGGTCGCCCCAACCTCGGCTTATACTATGGCGGCATTCTACCTTTGATAACCCTTATGTCATCAATTATTGATGATTGAACAACTGAACACAGAAATAGGAGTCACGGAACGCTATGTACGGATTTCGTCGCGTTTTTGATACAATTGTCAAACGTCAAGTTTGCATTCTTTGTTCATTCAAGTGCCCCGCACTCCTGTATGTATTCAAGGAGCAGTCATTTCTCCAAAACACGTTTACAACAAAATGAGAAACTATTTTACATTGTCACCTACACTTATATATAATTACAGACACAAAACATCAAAATATTATAAAGATAATACGATATAAAATTAACTGCCCCAAAGAGTGAGAGACACGACAAACGATTTCAACGAACAATATTAATAGAATGATACAATAAATCCAACCAAGTTGATTATTATGCTTATAACCGATAAAATACGACACAAATCGATAAAGATATTGACTGACTACCACACAGTATTTCATGGCGTCATTGTAAATGTATTTTACTGTGTATCCTTAAAATTGTGCCTAAGCTTCCTGTCACGCACGCCGAAAATAATCGACTCTTGATTCTTATCAGGAAGTCTGGGACTGAAGGGAATATTAGTATGTGTTAAGACGCACTATTACCTTTATTAGTGTAAAGTACTTTCGTACAATGTGACTCTAAACGGCAGGCTGACGCTTTCCTCGCAAAATTTTCAATGGCCTCTTCAAAAGACCATTTTCTTTTAAAAGTACACTCGGGCTGGACAATTCACCACAGACTTGAGCTTTATTCTTTACATAACATACGAAATGCAAAAAAAAGTTAAATTCACACTGCGCGTTGCCTAAGACACGTAGAGATGCACTGGACTGTGAAACATCAACTCTCCTCTTACATACTCAGACGTTAGTGAGACGATTGCCGCTTGCCTTGCTTCAGCTTCGTTGCCAATGCAACCATTTACGCCACTGCAAAAGCCAAACTGAGACGTCTGGGCGGAAACTGTTTCTGTCTGGAGAAAACGTGGAAGGGGTTCATTATATTATACACGGACGGAATAACACCATAGCAGACCGCGCTACTTTGCAAGACCAAGGTCAGATGTGATGGATTACCGCAGACGCTGCACCCCGACAGCTCACTTTAAAAAATACAGTATAGAACTATAAATATCTGCGACATTGCAAGCCCCAAGCCCTGCCTCGAAATATTATTTTGTCTTACTCTTTACGCCAAATCTTATCAAATTTTTCAAGAATGACTGCTCTACCCCCATCCCTGCGACATTATAAAATGAAATAACTGAGTTCTGAACGAATCATTATCCGTTTAGACTGCGATGTCTTCCTGTCATTTCAGAACAAAATACCGACATAAAGCACTTTTATTTGAGGGATTTTATCGTTTTCAAGGCTTAAATAAGGTTTAAATTGGAAAAAGATAATCGGTTTTGCAGACAAGCACAGTAGACAAAAATATGACTTCGGGGCATTTTCGAACACGCACAGTTTAATTTGCGTTTCGTGCACGTATCGAAAATAATAAAAGAAATCAATTTGCACCTTATTTTGAACTCCAGTAGGTTCAGTGTCTGGGTAACATGACACTGGTAGAAGTGCATCACGGCTTCGTACCCTGGCCTAAAACATATATTCTGAGTCATTTCCCGTTGTGGACAGAATATGACGTTAATCATATCGAAAGGATGTATACACGAGAGGCTTCAGCATCTAATTACTACAATCTCCTTCAGCAAACAAATTAAAAACTTCAGTAGAAAATTTAGGGGGATCAAAACTCCCCATAACAGTCTCACTGACTGTTCACTAGAACCGAAGGGTATGGCATGCCGGTAACGGTCATTCTGCCTCCTTGGTAAAGGCGAGCCGCCGACTCTGGACTAACCCAATTTCCCCCAATTCCACTATCTGAGTGTTAATCACGGTTCTACCTCGTGCAAGGCCTTCACCTACTTTCCCACTTTTCGAATCACGCTTGGGATATTAAAGGTTGATTGACATATTGGATACAGTACAGTAGGCCCTACAGTACAGACCGATAATAGTCCTCTGCCGCATCACCGTCAAAGTTTTAGTAAAAAGTCAGAGGAATATCAGAAATTACGAGAGGCACGATTAACTGCCCACCCACATCAAAGAGTACCCTCTACCTGGGCAACAGATGGAATTTTCACAAGATATTCACAGATGTGTCTTTAAATAAATAGACAGTCATTTGACTCACTGGCTTTTTGAAAATTTGACTATAATATCAGACACCCTGGTAGTGGGTCATCAAGTGTGCACCATATCTGACGTTACAGACGGTCCACCTCTGTAAAAGGACAATTTCGCCCTGCCTCTTTATTCTCTGTCGACCGCTAATTTCATCAAATAAGCAGAAAAGATTACCGTTCTATTTTTGTCCATTCGCCAAAACTCGATCCTGTCCTCAAATAATTTTACGTTGGTCTTGTCCCAGATAAAGGGCAACAGAGTGTGAGTGACCTTAATTTGTTAAGAAGTCGTCTGGGGTTTTAAATGAACTTAAAGCGGGCCATTTTATGCCCGTACGTCCATGTTGATATCGTAGATAAAAACGTAATCAGTGATAGCGCTGTATGTGATTGGTGTACAACACGCCTGACTACAGATACTGACGTGTCCCGAAACCGCGGCCATGTGTCATTTTAGCTTTACACTTGGATTCTACAAGTCGTCGCACAATTTTACAACACATAAATGTGTTGCGAGACAGCTCTAAAACCCTTTTCGTTCTCAGAGAGAAATAGAGAGAGAGATTCATTTGCATATAGTTAGAAAATCGGGAAATAAAAACTGAGGAAGGCCTTTGAAAGGCTATTAAATTGATTTTTTATTGACAAATATTTTTAGTTAAAGCTCCATTTTTTCTCAAACCACAAACGTCCTGAGAGAAGTACGTGCCTAGGCAATAAAAACACTCTACAATACTTACAACCTTGAACCATGGATGCAGAGAATCGGTGAACATCCAGGTCACACAACAGACGAAATATATACACGTTTGCCTCAGTAGGCGATAAGCTATCGTATGACCGATTTCATGTCCACATTCAAGTTGAGGATAAAGTAGATTAAATAGGTGACCGCATTTCTTATGAACTATGAGCTTTATAATACACACCACGCGGTATGCATGAGGAGCACGTGAACACTATGTCTATATGCAATACCATCAACGAGGACCGAAAAAAATCCCAGTTAAAAATAACTCGCTTATGGGTGAGATTAATTACCTTAAGTGAGGTTAACTACCTTGCGAAATTGTGAATTTAGGGGAAAGTTCTACATGCGTGGCAACAACACACATACTTATAGTGCTGAATACACAAGAAGACAATTATACACACACACACAAATAAACAAAAATCCCTTGAATAACTTAAAGCTTAAAATGTATCAATACGATTTCCTTCAACATAACTTAAACTCACTAAATCTGCATTTCCAAGTGAATGCCAGATAAATGTGTACAGAAGACA